CGCATACGACGGAATTGTGTTACCGCCGCAGCATTGGTGTAGAGGCGCCCCAGCCCCGAAGGGCCGAGACAACCTCGCTCTCCGCTTGTCCACTCCGAATGGCCGGGCCCGCATTGTGCATCGGGTCTTATGCCGCACGCGAGGGGCTAACAGTCCGAAATACATCAGCCTGTTCTCCCGCGTACTCCCTAGATAAAGAAGGCCACTTTATCTCCCTGAGTATAGGGGCTCCCCTAGCGTAGAAACTTCCGGGAACGTCTCGGCAGCGGTTTAATTTAAAGTGGAATTGCTAACCACACCCTAGATGAGCACCGCCTACGGTAAAGTCTCTTATCGAGCTCAGCCTACACCTGCCATGCGCATTCGAAGGACGCCATAGGCTCAGCCTAGGTGGTCCGATCCTTCGCTTCCCCAAGGGAACTACGCCGGTCATACGCAAAACAATGCGAAGCATACTCGAGTCAGAGACACCGATTCACTACCCGTTTCCTTTCGCTTACTCACGCATACGAGGGACTATTTAGCATGATCATCGCGTCCTGAACGCTTACACGCAGTCGTCCGGTCGCAACGTCTCCTGTGAGGCCGGGGGTAATTACGCTGGCCATATGCAAGCTTCACGAAGGTCACAGATAGAAGACAGCCTCTGTCTACGTTCCCGCCAGGGGCGTCACCACGCGCCACCACGAAACCATTCCCAATGTAACTAGGGCTAATTTTGGAACTTTTCAGTTACCCCATGGTACAGATGGCCATACACCCTCCCCCGTCTGTGAAGACTGGATCTAGTGCTAAGCCTTCTAAGCCACCCGCCGCCCATGCCGACCCCAGGCCGACACGAGTACAGCTTGTGCTTTAGAGAGGTTGCCACGCCCTCTGGGCTGCACCTGTATTTTGTGCCCGGATACCCCCCTTGCAGCCAAGGGTTAGGAGGGGTCACAGGATAAAATGAAGGATCTCCGGTTGAGGAAAAGGGCCGTGGATGAGAACACGAGGTGTGCCGTTTCGTGGTCTCGAGTCTCAAACCACACTATACCACCCGTCGTCGTCGTAGTTCCACACGTAGTGGGCCACGACTCTTGTAGATGAAACAGACCAGTATGGACATTTTTGGGTTGGTTTTTTTGGTCAGTTGAACTTTCCAGTGCTTGCACCTATGTTTCACTCCATTAGCGAATGGCTGCAGTCTCCATAACGTCTGGTTCGCCTTTTGGCAGCCCAGCGACATCGTCATTAAATGTGCCAGTTTAAGTATTGGTGAATGTAGGTAATCCTCAGTTTAAAAGAAGTACAACAACATTCCAGTGAGGAAATGGGAACATATGCGTTTTTTATCGGACAAAGATTCCTTGTGTTTAACAAAGAATGATCCATTGTGTAGACATTATAATATCAGACGATAGTACGAGTCCGGGATGTAGATTTTATTTTTGAGAGTAGTCCTCTTGGCTAAACCGGGTCGACTGCCTTCTCCACATCATTGAATAGTCCAAAGCAGAAGATAGCCTCCTTACAATTTCATTTTAGAGAATTGTGTTTTTTTAAACGAAAAATATCAATACTGAGCACTAACTGTTTACTATATATTTCGTTACAAAAAGTGATGAAAAGGGTGCGAAAGGAAGATAAAGATATAAGTAAATGTGTAGTGAAGGGATGAGGGTAATTGAGTGTGGTTTGATTGTTTTTTCCAGGCCCTAGTCTGACTGTAAGGGTCATTGCCGACTCCTTATATTTTTTCTGTTTATTTTTTGTTATTACGAGTGTCCGTTGAATTGCGTCCATCAAGATCAGCCCTGCAATTTGTCCATTCTAGAATAAACATGATGGATTATTTGCTGTTACTTATATTTAACCTTTTTACAAGTGTTTGTAGGTCCTAATTTGACATTACGTTCTTTGATAATATGTACATAATTACTTTCAATTAATTAAGGTTTTCGTTGAGATAAAGAAGTCAGTGTCACGAGCGCGATTCGAGCGCATGACCTTCGGCTAGATACGCTGCTGCTTTTGAGCTATCTTGACCTCGATCCACTCGGACACTAACTTCCCATCTCAATCCCACCTTTTGAATTTTCCCACTTTTATCTCAACCCTCCCTTAATGCTTATAAGCTAACCAAAATTATAGGTAACTATCTAATTGTAACACAAAATTTATATAGAAAACTGGCATGATGTTTGTATATCCGACGTACCCCAATCTTCTACGCCAATAAATACATCAAATCGCATGTAAAACTAAATGTTGGAGCCATCGTCATTTTAATTTTATTCAGTAATTCATCCGTCCGTCACACTGTGGACATAGTAAAAACTAACCTACACCATCCTAACCGGATTTTCGCTTCCGATCGTATTGCAAACATATATTGAACTATAATTCCTTGGTGAGTCGGTCAGGTAGTATATAGATATGTTCCGTAATAATTAACGTAACTGGATCGACAAATCAGTATGGTATTCTGTATTGAGGCGTAGACCCATTTCCGAACGCACCACAAACATACTTAACGATTTTCGTCAATAAATACAATTACAATTGAATAAAAGCCACGTATTAAAAAAGTTCTCTAAATGCAACATAAACGTGGATTAACACACATATTAAAATAATTGATCTCTGAAATCAATGTTATTCTTTATTATTTTTCTTTTGTCAATCGATATGCTCACTTTTTTCGGTATTGTTGCTGTCAACGGTTCACAATCAGATATTAAATGTGTTGACTCTTGTCTCAGTTGTTGACCAACTGAAAAATGAGAGAAAAAATAAAATAACTTCAGAAAAAAAAAGTTTAATTTATTCTCTAATTTCGTGGTCTACTTGACCAACTAATATCATTCAATTAATTAAGGTTTTAAGTTGAGAAAAAAGTCATTGTCACGAGCGGGATTCGAACACACGACCTTCGGCTACATACGCCGCTACTCTACCACTTGAGCTATCATAACTTCGATCTCAACCCTACCTTTTGAATTTTCCCTCCTTTTTGCCATTTTTCAAATGTCTTGTAATCTATTTGATTCTCGGCGACAAGTGAAATGGCCACGGAGAGCTTTAGTGAAAGTATACTTAATTTCTTAATTCATTAAATTCACTGTTTTTCGTGGTCCGCTTGACCAATTAATATCATTCAATTAGTTAAGGTTTTTAGTCACGATAGCTCAAGTGTAGAGTAGCGCCGCATGTAGCCGAAGGTCGTGGGTTCGCATCCCGCTCGTGACACTCACTTTTTTCCCAACTTAAAACCTTATTTAATTGGACGTATATGTAATATTTTTCGAGTTTGCGGTCTTGATTACCCAGCAAGTTAACCAATATCCAAACTAATTATTTTAATTTCTTCTATTGCGTCTTCTGGAATAATTGTAAGCTCTCTTGCCAGCAACAAGTTCACTTCCTTTGAATCCGGAGTACTTCTATTTTGTCTTTTATCGGTTGTGCGAACTAAGTTTTTAAAATATTCTCACGGATCTACTTCTTTCTTGTAAATGAGAAAATGTTTTGCCCGAATAAAACATGTCTGAAATCTTTCTAATGACGCCCAAGAAAAACATTTGTCTAAAATAGTGAGAGTGTTAATACCAAAAAGTTTTGATTGTTCATTTCACAGGAGGTTTAATATTTATAAAAGGACGACAATAATGATAGAATTTTGGTGGCCAGATTGAAATTAAAAGATTTATGAAAAATTTAAGTAAATTCATATTTATAATATAATTCCAAAATGCTACGAAAAAAGTTTGACTCGTACTTACCATTCCTAGTAGTTCATAAAGATTCATTCAGTTTGCTTCACAGTAAAGCTGAATAGTGGCTAAGCGTTAGCCTAGTTACTTCCCATCTGGACCTCACCTCTGGAATTTTCCCTCCTTTTTTGCCATTTTTCAAATGCCGTGTAATCTATTTGATTCTCGGCGACAACTGAAATGGCCACGGAGAGCTTTCGTGAAGATATACTTCTGTTTACTTATTAAATCGATTACAGTTCGTGGTCCGATTGACTAACTAACATTTTGCAATTAATTAATATTTAAGCTTTCAAAATTTATTGGTTGAAAAATGGCAAAAAGGAGGGAAAATTCCATAGGTGAGGTTGAGAAGTTGGTGTCCGATCGGATCGAAGTCACGATAGCTCAAGTTGTAGAGCAGCGGCGTATTTAGCCGAAGGTCGTGGGTTCAAATCCCGCTCGTGACGCTGACTTTTTTATCTCAACCAATATCCTTCATAAAATTAATTAATTGAATAACTAATTACATTTATTTAGAAAATCCGTAGTAGAATAAACATTTAAGGACCGATAATGACTTTTAAAAAATGACGTTGAATTGAAAATGACTTTTAATGTATGTTAATGCATATATTACATATTGAAATTTTTCGATTTTAACTGTTTATGTGAATTAAAGTTTACTAGTGGGTAAAAGAACTGTTTCTGAATCACCTATTTTATTCACAACGGCATTTTATTATAGAATGAATTATTTAATCCTTTTGTACAATCTATAAAGAAGCTTTTTTTCTTTGAATTCAATAGAGAATGTAAATAAAACAACCTCACATCTTTCTAAAGGGAAATCACGTGACAGACGTTCACACTTGGCATCTTCGCATATATCGGAGAATAAGAAAGAATGACGGGTCGGATTGTTATTTTCTAGTAAATCTCTCCCGAATTCGACCTTCTCAGAGGCATTATGAAAATTTTTTATATCAAGAGAGGCCGAAAGGCTTTGTTTTTATGACAGACACCAATCAGATTTTACTACCGCCTCGGCGGTAGTTCGGATTCTCCCGGGAGAGAAAGAGTATAAACAAGAGATTGGAAGCAACGCAAACGTTAAATGTACGCTTAACCCAACTGAATACTCGTCACAAAAATGATTCCGACCGTCTTCTTTTCCGTTTGATCTCATCTTTTGTTTTTTCGATTGGAAGAAAAACAATATTGAAAAATAATGTTATATTAAAGATAATGTTCCTTTATTCACAGGATTCTTGAAGCAGACTTTCAACGTTGGCGAAATTGGCAATTTGGGCCTCCTGGATCAAATAGCCGCCTTAAAATGGATTCAGGATAATATCGAGGCGTTTGGAGGAGATCCCAATTCAGTGACACTACTCGGCCACCACACTGGTATGTCGATAAACGTTTTCAGTTCTTTTCAACATGTTTTTTGCTCGTAATGTCTGAGATTGATTGGGTATAAATTATTTGTTCAAGACAGCTAGATGAGAGTCTTTAGCTTACAATGAACCTGTATAAACAAACACAAACCTTAAAAATAAAACGAAGACGTGATGCTTTCTTTTTCAGTACCGAAATAACACAATTGATTGAGCCATAAATTTGCAGTCTTATTTTACAATTGCATTGACTAAATATAACATCGCCATCTAAGCAAGAATTTAAATCTTTAATAAAATTTATTCGTTCTATAGTACTATTAAAACATTAGAGACAGATGTAAGAGTTTAAAAAATATTATAATTCATGCTGAATCGGTATTGGGTTATTTATTGGGTCCATCATCACCCGTGGCTTGTTTAAATACTCAAGGGACTGTTCCTCACTGAAGATGGCGCAATGCCGAAACGCACTGAGTACTTCACCAACTCGCGAACGAACACCCAGCATCAATTCTAATTTCATAATTGTCACGAATGTGGTCATAATATATCTGAATAAAATATTTGTTAATTATAATTATTCAAAAATCGTGAGATGCGGTCTGGTGTGATGTAGGTTTCAGAAAAACAGTTTCTTTATCGTGCCAACGTTTCGATCTTTATTGAGATCATCTTCAGAGCATCGGATTTACAAACATTGTTTAATTTAACAAATACATGAAAAGACATTTTTGTCATCTTTTCAATACCGACTTCCATCCCCACCCCTTCAAAATCCAACATATATAAACATAAAACAGCAATATCTCACGGCACTCTCAACACGACACGCAAGAAGGGCACAATTACACAGAAAACAAGCACTTTGAGTGAGTAGAAATACTTTGATTGAATATAAAAAATATAATTTGCATTGTATAAATTCACCTTTTTCCACATCCTACATGTATTTGTTAAATGTACACAATGTTTGTAAATCCAATGAAGATGATCTCAATAAAGATTGAAACGTTGGCACGATAAAGAAAATGTTTTTCTGAAACCTACCTCACACCAGACCGCATCTCACGATTTCTGAATAATTATCGATTAACGGTCACTAATCACCACACATTTGTTAATTATATCGGATATGATTAGTGATCAGCCGGAAATTATAATTATACATTAAAAATTTTAGATATTGAGCCAATTAAAATGTATGCAAATATGTTAATTAAATTATGAATTAAAGTTTCATAGTCTTGATGTAATGCAGGAAAGCTTTTCGATGGAACTGTGTGTTTTCTTTCCGATTCGCCTCGTCTCTGACAACACATTAACATTGTATAGATTGTGCACATGTTTATTCCGCCAAATATAACAACAATATTTTTGGTTCATTTCTTCAAGAAAAGATATAAACAAAGCAATAGGTTGTTTACAAAAAATACAAACGTTATATTTTGATTAACTGTGTTTAAACTTTTGTCGTGTAAAGACGTTGATTTTATGTTTGAGTTAATTCAGTAAACGAGAACCAATTAATTGAATAATTCCCGATTTTCCGGCGTTTTCTTTGCTTGACCCAATATGCATAAGTTCTGAAACAGTATATCTAACATTATATTTGGATGAATGATGACAACGTTTTTTATCAATTTGATCTTGATCTCATAAATCAAATCTCATACATTTTATAGGCAAATAACCATGAGGCATTATATCACTCTAATAGCCAATGCATTTTTTTTTTACATTTCAACTTAACTTCACAATTCCATCGTGTATGACATGCAATAAAATAAATTGATAATTTGTTATTGATATGCAATGAAATACTGACTACGAAAATGGTTTCACAAAAAAAGACGAATGATAAACGAGAAAGACAATTTTATCTTAATTTAATTTTTTTTTTTTTGGTAATCTGCTTTTTTTGCCTATTTTCATTCTGTTCAAAATTTCTTGAAAACAATTCATTTAAATATCTCAGAAATGATTGTTTTACAGACAGAAAAAATAGTTTTCACCGTCGGATACATCGGCGACATAATGGAAAGTGGTTTTTATAAATAATTAATTGAGAGTTTGTTATTCCAGTCGGCTTTGTTTGAAAAACCTAAAACCTGTATGCTTTAACTATTACCATTATGCTGTAACTTCAGAAACAATGAGCTCAATTTGATGTAATCATCTTTCTTGACTTGATACAATACTTGAGAGATTAATTCTAAGCTTCTTGGTTTCCGTTTACAATTTGTTTATCATCTCTTGATGTGAAGAGAATTCAGGTTGAGTGTACACGACCAAAGACATTCTACACGAACTTTGTTCAAACTGAATAATTTCGTAAACGTATCAATTTCTAAGCTTTTTATTGTATGCCGGGCGCTGTTATTATTCATACATCTTAAACTTTGACAAGCGTATAAAATAACATTTAAACATTTATATATCTCGCCTGATAACTTAACTTTAATTTTTCTTTTTGTTATGATTACATCTAGCCACAGATTGTGCGCCAAGAAAACAGTTTGGCTCTTAATAACGCCCATGTATGTCTCGATAAATTGAACAGATACCTATAATTTTATTTTCTCGCTGATCATATTTGTGTCCGCTTAAGTTCACAGAGATAGAACATAATGTAAAGTTAAAAATATCTGCTCGTTCTTTGAGAATTGCTCTTTATAATTCTGTTTTGGTATGAGCTTCAAAATTTAAATCCGTAGTTCACATCGTCATACCCAACTTGTATTGTGAGTATTTGTGAATTATAAGTTGTCTGTGTACACTTTTCTAGTAGCAGCGTGTTGATTGTAAATAGTAAGGTTCACTCTAACAATGTTGCACCCTGATCAAACATGGGTCGCCTTTCGGCGGCAACTCCCTTTCCGCACTCTTTGTTCTCTATTTTGCGTTTAATTGGAGTATTTTAAATCGTTTTTTTTAAATTTTATTCAACTATCTATTGAAAACATTGCAGACTAGTTATTACTTATTGTGTTATTTTTGTAATTGCAGGAGCGATTGCTGCCAATTATCTCATGTTATCTCCTATGGTCCAAGGAGAGAAAAGTAAGTACTTAAACCCAAATATTTGGAACGTTTTGATAACATTGATGTCGACTTTTAATATTTATGTATATTCTTCCCATTCTTTCTCGGCTAAAATGACTATATTTAGCTACCGATTGTTTATTGAATTGTTGAGCCAGTGAACTAAAAAAAGAATTGTAAAATGAAAAATTAAGTTGATCAGAACGTTTTAGAAATATGTTATGTATTAGCAATGTTATTATTATACACATGTGTTATTAAATCATTAACCCAGTTTAATCTGAGGTTGAAGTGAGCCATTAACCTTAGAGAATGTTTAACTATATAGCAAATTTCACTACTGCGGGATGGTTTAATAATATGCAAATAAAATGGTGCAGCTTAATTGCATATTTTAATTGATTGGACATTTGAATGAAAGGCGGGCTCCTTGAAACGAATAAACGAAGTTAAGGTATGGCAATAAATGCCCGAAACAGGTGTGACTTACAGCCCGAAATATCAGTTTACGATGCAAACTCGACAGACTGCACATTCTGCCAATATTTTTTAGTTTAACTATCTTACAAGACTGGCCTCCTACTGCGGCAAAAAGGAAACAATTTTGGACGATTTTCCTTATTTGCTTTATTTCCATATCTACAACACAATATTTGATAGGTCCAACAAGCACCTGAACGAAAGTAGCTGTCCGATAAATGTATAAAAAATTAATACTAAACTGTTATCTCTATTAAATTCACTAGTTTCGTGGTCGCTTGACCAATTAATATATTTCAATTAATTAAGATTTTTAGACGAGATAAAAAAAGTCAGTGTCATGAGCGGGATTCGTACCCATGATGTTCGGCTAGATACGCCGCTACTCTACTACCGCTTGAACTGTCGTGACCTCGATCTACTCGGACACTACCTTCCCATCCCAAAATCACCTTTAGAATTTTCCCTCCTTTTTTGCCATTTTTCAAATTTCGTGTAATCTATTTGATTCTCGGCGAGAAAAGAAATGGCCACGAAGAGGTTTAGCGAAGGTATACTTCATTTTAACTTATCAAATTCACTAGTTTCGTGGTCCGCTTGACCAATTAATATATTCCAATTAATTACGGTTTTTTGTCGAGATAAAAAAGTCAGTGTTATGTTATCTCTATTGTTTTTACTTTGGATTAATTGATACTTTAAAACTATAAAATACCGGAAAAATGGCAGAACTGCTGGATGGAAAAATGTAATGAAAAAAGCATATTAATGATTCGATTTTGAATAAGTCACACCAGGCTGTTGCGTGGGCATCTCCTCATTAACTTAAAGAGCCCGTGACGATAATACGTTCGAGAGGTGAGACCCTAAAGTTGAGGAAGGACAGGAAAGATGTTGTTGTTGTTCGGATTTTGGCTGAGCGTGTTCAAACGAATCTTCCTTCCTCTTATTCCTCTCGAAAGATTTTTTTTGTAAGTAAATTTTAATTTTTTATCGTTCTATTTTGGACACATACATCAAAGTGTTTATTTTTCGTTCAATTCAAATTTTTATTTTATCAATAAAGAGTGTACCGTTTTTATTTTGATTATTTTTTATTTTCGTCTCGTCACAAAAATTGGAGGCACTGGCGAGATATATCCTTTATTTTTTTCACGCACACGAGCCATCCTAGAACACAGCTTCCGCTTCCATCTAGCCTCCTCTAGAGAAGGTCCGAAGTATTTGTGTGTCGCATCTATTGTAGAGAGGAAGCTATCCGGACATCAAGAAATCGCATCACCATGAAGACCCATGTTTCTACCGCTGGAAGTACCGACAGAGACTGGACTCAGTTGAAGGGAAAACAGTCCAGGGTCATCAGGACATCGATTCACACGACCCGTGACGGATGTTAGAATTCAACATGGATTAAGGTTAAGTTCAAGAAATTCAAGAAGCTACTCTAGATGACATGGCAAAGCATCAGAAGAGAACTACGTTAAACATATTTATAATATGATCATATTGTTAAAAAGCGGTTTTTTTTGGTTTTTGAAGAGGAGATCATTTTGGTACGATAATACGTTCGAGAGATGAGACCCTAAGGTCTTCCTCAGAAGGACAGGAAAGATCTTGTTGTTGTTGTTGTTCGGATTTTGGCTGAGCGTGTTCAAACAAATCTTCCTTCCTCTTCGAAATATTTTTTTTGTAAGTAAATTTTAATTTTTTAGTGTTCTATTTTGGACACATACATCAAAGTGTTTATTTTTCGTTCAATTCAAATTTTTGTTTTATCAATAAAGTTGATTATTTATCAATACCGTTTTTATTTTTATTATTTTTTATTTTGGTCTTGTCACAAGATGCCCCCCTACTTTGAAACATATTCTACTAGAGTATGAACAATTGGCGCAGCATAGGGCAAGGCGTGACACCACAAACTCCACGAGTTGCAAAGAACTCAAGCAAAATGAAACAAAGCAAATTGATGGCAGCGAGAAATTGATGGGATACATGGAGCGGATGAATGCACGCATGTGGTCGCGATTGAAGTTTCTTTCACGTGTGGTGTTCTCTTATTGAGTGAATGTATTCACAAGCACGAGTATTCTGAAAAAATTCACCAAGATAGATTAGTCATTAATTGTTAGTGGGGCAATTAGAAACTGGCATTTATCAAATACTCGGATGACTCGAAAAATTTTTAACGGCGTCTATTCGTGAAATGTTAAGAATTTTATGATGAATTTATTAGTACGATTGGATTATGCAAGAATATTGAGTACGGGGAGTATCAACTCACTTAGAATAGGTATATTTTAGTAAGAATGTGTCTAAAAAAGAACTGAATGGTGAGCGGGTCTTGAGGAGGCGCTGTTTCTCAGCACAAAAAAGATTAATAATGTTGGGATAGGAGAGTTAGGATAGCACGAAAACTTAGGGAACTTTTGGATGCGTGATCGAATCAGTTCTCTTGACAAAGGAAAGTTTAGGTCGTTGTGAATACGTTAGTGACGAATTTAGCTATGAGAAGTTTTCTGATGACTTTTGATAGAACGGAGTAGATACCCTCGATATTTTATGGGTTTGAGAAATTCCTTAGTTCCAATCCGTCCATAATGATCGCAGTAATGTCTTGTGTAGACTTAGTTGAGTTATGACGATCAAAATAGATTTCGCTTAAAAGGTAAAAAATCGTAGTTGCCCTAATCGATACTTGTTTTAAAAATAAATACTACTTTTTATAAAAGTGTGTTTTGGTCTTCTCCGTCTGTGGAACATAGTGGGTCAACATAAAAAGTAAATTTTAACAACAAACTATACAATAAAATAAGAATAACAATAATATCAACATAAGATAATATAATTTTTATGAAAAGTTGTATTTGTTCCATGATATAATCTAAAAATATGGGTTTTCATGAGAGTGAAGATATATTAAAAAAAAGGAAGCTTTTTTTACGCAGTTTCAGCTCTTTTATCTCCGAGGAAACCAGGGACTGGCAGAGAAGGCAATTATAGACTGTAACTCGTATTTACAAACGCCCCAGGCGTAGTGATCCCGTAGACCTTTACCCGTGGGGTTTGAATAAGTTGGACTTCGAAAACAAACTTGTCCGTGCGGCAGTGCATTGTTGTCGGATGGGGTTTCACTGGCGTAGCATCTCAAAATTGGCTAAATCAATGAACACCCAGTTCCGGCCATTGTTATTATCAACTGTTCTGTAACTAGTTTCCGCGTTTTCGGCCAGAAGAGAGTGTGATTTATCGTTGTAAACTTTCAAGGACGGTCCGAAAGCTGCTGAGCTGTAAACGCTGAAAAATGCCGTTTTTAACAAACCTGGAAACGAGTAAATTGACTTTTCCAGATTGCAGACTATTTGTGTTTGGGGGTTCTATTTAATCAACATCGTTCTATTTAAAAAGAAGTTACTTGGTGTAAAAAAGTCAAAGTTAAAAATAAATCACCATTGCGTTAGCTTTTGCACTATTCATTTTTATCAATAATTCATAAGAGACTTGGTCGAAATGTAAAATGAATATGAATCTAAAACACACATTTACAAAAACAAATTTTTAATATATCAGGAAGCATAACTCTATTTCATTATAATTATTTAATCATAACTAATAGAAATATACATGGGCATATTATTGTATGAATTTGCATAACAAAATTTCCATACTTTCGGGCGTCAAACATCGTCTTTTCTTGGGATTAGATGTGCAGAAAGATGAATCTATCCTCGCAAGTTTTCCTATTTAAATTCGGCGAAGTTTGTGCTACTGTTAGTGGCTTACCGTGCTTAAAACCCCGAGTAATCTCTGAATACTGATTAATAAGAAATAATAATAATAATAATAAAGAAATAAATTTATTGAACTTTATACATTTTCGATTGTACATTTCAATTTATAAAAGACGACGGATTTTTTTTAATCAAATAATTGTACATATATCGTAAATAAAAGCAGAAGAGACTGATAGATAGAATTATGATATATATATATATATATATATATATATATATATATATTCACTAGTTTTCGTGTATATATACTGCATACAGTTTGTAGTTGTATTTCATGTTTACGTATAATAAGTTATTTAAGTTATTTAACTTAATAAATTAAATAAATTAACAATAATAATTTATGTTTATGTTTTAATAATTATTCTGAAATAGTGAGATGCGGTCTGGTGTGACATAGGTTTTATAAAACCATTTTCTTTATCGTGCCAACGTTTCGATCTTTATTGAGATCATCTTCAGGGCCTGGGATTTACAAACATTGTTGAAATTTAACAAATACAAGTATGATGTGGAAGAAAGTGAATTTATACAATGCAAAAAAATATTTTTTATATTCAATCATAGTAGAAAGAGTAGAAATACTTTGATTAAATATAAAAAACATTTTTTTGCATTGTATAAATTCACTTTCTTCCACATCCTACATGTATTTGTTAGATTTAAACAATTTGTAAACCCCAGGCCCTAACGATGATCTCAATAAAGATAGAAACGTTGGCACGATATAGAAAATGGTTTTAT